TACCGAATTCTTATCAGAATCTTATAAGATTCTTATATTCCTTCTTATAAGAATCTTATCAATAAATTACGCATTTCCATCGACTGCCTTATATCAGATTCTTATAAGATTTCTATAGAATTGCCGTAAGATCGGTCGACTAGGGCAGTGGTTTTATGTTTAACCGAAACGTGGTTGGATGATAGTGTTGACAACAGCGAGATAGATATTTCTTTTTATCACTCGCCTTTACGTTTAGATAGAGATAGGCATGGCGGTAGATGTGCAGTGTATATACGAACTGATTTTCATTCTTTGCGCCTACACGAATTTGAAGGTGCACAATTTGAAATACTTGTGCTGCGCGTAACACTAAGTAATAAAATGAGTATGATCATTTTAAATGTCTATTGCCCTAAAACTACTTCTATATAGAAATTAATTAAACAGTTATATACTGTTTTAGAGAAAATTAGTAACAGTAAATACAAGAATGATATGATTCTGATGGTCGGGGACTTTAATTTCCACTATCAGTCGTGGTCTATTAGTAACATTCCATCGGCTAAGGAAGGTATAGGACTTAATGATTATCTCGCATCGATATCTATATCGATATCAATAAAACTATAACTATAGACGTACGTGTGTACGTGGACAGGACCTATTATCGATTCGAAAACTGCTGGTACGAGTCCTTTGAATCGACCGAATTTCCTGAACACTAGAAAAATGGTTTTGTCCACCCTATTTTTAAGAAGGGCGACAGTCTCGATACATCTAACTATGGACCAATAACTTTGTTACCAGCTTTATTAAAAATATGCCAGAGATTAGTTCACAGGCAACTATATACTTATTTCGTTAATAATAACTTCTATCTGCTTCTCAATCGGGTTTTAAAGCGAAAGTTAGTACTACGAACTTATTATTAGACTAGTCAATAAAATTAATACTGGTATAGATGAAGATAAGGTTGTGCGAGTTCTGTGTTCTATTAGATTTTCGTAAGGCTTTTTATAATGTGAATCATGAATAGGAGTGGCACATTACCGTTACTGTTACGAGTATTCCAAATATTGTATATATTCCTGTTACCAGTAAGAGTAATACTTTTCAGTTTTACTGTTGCCGGTACAAATTTTATGAACATTCCTATTACCAGCAACATTAAAACTGAAAAGTATTACTCTTACTGGTAACAGGAATATATACAATATTTGGATTATTCATAAAAGTAACAGTAATGTGCCATCCCTAATCATGAACTTTTGCTGCTAAAACTCTATAAAAAAGGCGTTAGAGGGAAAGCTTTGAAGTGGATTGAAAATTACCTAAAAGAAAGGATAATCCAAATGGTTTTGCATAGCTTTACTTCTGGAAGGAAAAGTATATCAAAAGGTGTACCACAAGGATCGGTTATTGGACCTCTACTGTTTTTAGTCAGAGAAATGGTATATACGTTTAAGTCCATCTAAATGCGAGTCAATTACTTTTTTTACGCGATAACATCACAAAGATACATCATCTTTTAAACCGTTGTTATTGAACGGTTCATCTATCGCAGAAAAAGAAGTAAGATATTTAGGTCTACTGCTATCCTTCGACTTAACATGGACAAGTCATATTACCAAGATTCTGCTTAAAGTATCTTCTATAGTCGGTATAATGAAATGTTACAAAAATACACTACGTAAAAATGTTCTTGAGATTATTTATAAGTCTTGTGTTTATTGGTTTTAAATTATGGCTCAATAATTTACTTACTGACTGCAGAAATGAATCTCGTAAAGTTAGAAAGTCTACAGTATCAAGCGGCGTTAACTGTCTCAGAAACTATGAAAGGTACATCGAAATAGAAGTTATATGAAATTTTAGGATGAATTAATGTAAAGGATCGCTTTAAAATTTTACGATTGTTGACTTTCGCAAAAATCGTAAAAGGATTAGCATCTCTCTACTTAACTTCTCACCTACAAATCCGCCGACCGAATGGAAGCTACGATTGAGCAGTAGTCAGCGATCCTGTTTTATAGCGGTAAATAGAACAGATAGAAACATTTTTACTGTTGTACGAGAATGGAATGATCTTACATTGAATGACACGAATTTTATCAACTGTGAAAATATCTAAATTATGCAATACTTTAAAAATTCAGTATATGTCAATGGGTGTTTTTTCTAAAAAGTTAAAGTTCTCTAAGCGACTGAAGGAAGTGATCTTCATGCAGATAAAAGCAAATTTTCCACCGCTAAATTACTATCTCAACTGGCGTAGTTATACAGATTCACCTAAATGTAATTGCGGAAATAATAGGGAAGAGATCCAGCATTATTTTGTGTACTGTTCCCTATACAATACTCAACGCCAAGATCTTTCACAAAAACTTTCTTTTATGCCTAAATTCTCAGTTGACACCTTGTTACCGAATGGCTTAAACTTTGACCATGGTACTTTACTTTAACATGTTTACTGGCTGCAATGCTCTTGTATATTCAACAAACGAGCAGATTTGATTAACTGCAGACATAGTAATTTCCAGTTTTCAATTTTTATGATATTCATCCTTTCTTCGTCATCTGGCCCGTCTTCTTAGTTTTTTATATTGTTGCTCTTTTGTTTTTCTTATCCATAATTACCTTTCTGTGACTACCTACGGACAACATCTTTATTATTGTTAGATCCAGAATGGCCTTTGACCGCTGACCTTTATTATCAGAATCAATAAAGATATACAACAACAGTCTCCTTAGATCAGCTTGGTTCATTAACCATATGCATTTGAATGATCATGGATGTGGGTTTACTATTGTAGTTAGATTGTTGACACAGATGGCATCCGCAGGATGATATTAGTCATTCTCTATAGTTTTTAGATTCTAGTTTGATCATGTTGGTTGACGGTGATTAGCATATTTTCATGTTCAACACATCTTTTCACTCGTTACAAAAAAAGCCTAATACAAATGAAGGGTACAAGATAATTATCGGTTTATTATTGTTTGTTAGCTATTGGCCTGATTTTTTTGGATCGATCGATTTAATTTCCTTATCGCGAATCTCGAATAGCCAGTTTTTTGGTGCACTACCAGGTACATCGTCAAACGGTTGTCGAACTTCTAATTTTGTACCATCGGATTTCGTTGCAACGATTTTATAAATCGACTTTTGATTATCTTGAAACGAATTTGATGATACCGTAAATTTTTTAATATCAGCGAAATATTCGCCACCATTCGGTTCAATGGTTACATTGACATTCTCCGTTTCATGATGAACATTATCACCGCAATACATGATGGTACACTGAACTGCTTCACTGGTAGTATTTTTTATTTTGGTTGATAGAACATGTTTTGGTAGCGGCATCTTTGTTCGCTTTCTTTCTTTTTTCTAAACAATGGAAAAATATACAAAAAATGGTAACAAAGTGAATCCGGCCAACTTGATCAGTCGAGAGATTCATAGTATTTAGGTTACACCCTGATAAGAAGAACTCTTATTTCCATTTACACACAACTAAAATTTCGACTTAAGGTGTACGTTAAGAAAGTAGTCCGTGGCAAAATGTCAATCCTCCACTTCCTACCTTCTTGGTATTCTGGATATCCTTCCTCAAAATAAGGTACTTCAACGCGTTCAATCACTATCCACACAAATTTTTTGTGGGAAATAGATCAGAATCGTTCTGCCAAGGTTTCAACATTTGCACAAAAATTTAACTATTTTTTTTGTAATTATCTATCCCTTCTCAACTTATATGACAAACGGTGAAAACCGCTAAAAGTCGAAACCTAGATATTGAAAAGTGTATATATGCAGCAAATTTAATGGATAACGTGACTGAATAAAATTTTATTTTAAGTTTTCATTCGTGCTGTTTCAGCCTAATGGTCGTTATCAAACCTAAAATCAAAAACTATTTATACATATCCCTTCACACACACCATATAGAGAAAGAAGAAGAAAAGAAAAACTCCTCCTATTTTCCTACTGCTGCAGAATCTTTTCCTTTTTCGCTCCATACATATTTATATTCATACATATCGAAGTTTCACTTAACTTCGTTATATGTGGAAGGAGAAAGAAAAAGATTCTGCAGCAGTAGGAATATAGGAGGAGTTTTCTTTTCTTCTTCTTTCTCTGTTTGGTGTGTATGGAGGGATGTGTATAAATAGTTTTTGATTTTACGTTTGATAATGACCGTTAGACTGAAATATCACGAATGAAAATTTAAGATAATATTTTATTCAGCGTTTGCCCTCAACTAAGACAAACATCGAACTTTACTAGTGTAAATAGAGAAGACTAGGTTTTCTGAACAGGAGAAAATCCTCACAAATGTGTTGAAAACTTTTGATTGAAAGCTTGAGCTCAACTGGATAAAGGGGGTTGAGACGACGCGAACGTACTCTTGTGCAACGGTGTTGGTAAGAGAAAACTCATCTCTTGAAAAAAGCGGAAAACAAATCTGATGTGGTGAGAATATTTTTCTGGTGAAAACTGATAGGCAGATTGGTAGCACTTGTCAGGAAAGGGAGCAGAAAACTGGCGAGCTTACTTTTTAAGGTTCTTTGAACGTTCTAGAAAGTTTGCTAAAAATCCTCTAAGAGTTTCCTCAAAACTCCTCGTAGTTTTCACTCGACGTACCAAATCGGATATTCAAAGCCGGGTGATTTTCGGACGGTCTGAATAACATTTCAGACGTTTTTCCTAATCTTAGAATTTCGGTTTTGATGAGCTATACGCGATTTCGTGAAAGCCTACTAGAAAGTAAGTTTCTCGATACGAGATCGCTGGTTTAAAACTTGCGTATAGCGCGTTGTGCTAAATTTTAAAAAGCTAAACTAAGTCCGTTTGAGCTGAAATTATAATCCGATGCAGCAGAAACCTATCACAAATAACAAAAGAACCTTCTTTTTAATGTTGTGATGCAAAAGCAACTAAAGCAGCGATATTTCAGTGTTGTGTACTGCGCGCTGGAGTGAATTTTAAAAATACGATACTCCAAGCTTCTGGATTTTCAATGGTTTGGATAACATTTCAGAATCTACATGCAGCAGGAATCTTTAGACCTCCAGCATTTGGTTTTTGCTAGTTCCCCGATGATCACTAAATAAGTTCAGAACAGACGAAAAGCTATCCCTCAAGCTTACTTCAAAATCCCTGATGTGGATGGATATCGATCCAAAAGCCCCTCAGGAATACCTATGCGTTACAGTAAGTATAGCTAGTTACCTAGGACCTTGCATATATTTTAGGATACCTCCTCGGGTTGTCATAAAATTTTCCATTCAGGTATATGATGAAACAGTCGTGTGTTCTCTCCAAGATAAGACCTCTTTAAACTATTTAACATGCTTCATCAAAAGTATAGGAAAATTTTTAAAAGTTTTGTCAAGGCTGAAAAGGCTTATTTTTTTTAACTTTTAAGAATCTTCTCGACATTCATGAAGATCAAAACTTTTTCTTTCTGCCTAGATTTATAGACCAAACACTCATCATAAAATAAAACGTTTTTCTAGTCTTAGACTTTCGGTTTTGATGAATTATACGCGATTTCGTAGAAGCTTACGAGAAAATAAGTTTTTCGATAAGAGATCGCTGGTTTAAAATTTGCGTATAGCGTGTTGTGCTAAATTTTAAAAAGCTAAACTAAGTCCGTTTGAGTTGAAGTCATAACCAGAAATCGATCACAAATAACAAAGCACCTTCCTTTTAATGTTGGGATGCTATAACGCATCATATACTGTTTCCAGAAAACGGTCAAACGAAAATGATGATTTTAATCCAAGACACTAATAGTAACTTTAATTCTGTTTAAAAATATTTTACATGCAGCATGTTTTATTCATATGAAATATTCTGAATATTCAAAATCATATGGCACATTCACAGTGAGCAATAATGCAACTCATATATCGCTGCAATGAGAAGAATTACAGAGCTGATATTTTCACAACTGTAGGACTATGATTAGACAGACAAGGAAAAAAAATAATAGAGTTCATTCCATAAAACGACAGATCTTCATTTTTTGTGTGTAGAGGACGCACGTTATTCACTGTATTCCACAACTTGATGTCAGTCATTTTCGTTAAAAGATATTTTAAGCCATTTAATTCCTGAGATGTTGCGGTACTTGGACTAACCGTTATGAGCATTATAAAAAAAGAAAATTCTGCTTACCACAATGATATATTTTATCTTCTACAGTACTCGCTATAACAACCCCGGTTAATGGTAATAACAGTGATTAATGACAAAATTAACTGTACTTGTTTCTTTATGTATACAGTTACATACACTCATCCTTGTGACGGAAAAGAAAAAAGAAGAAAACGATAATATTTCGTGTATGCAGATGTATATCATAAGTCAATGACAAGAAATAACAGTTTGAAACAATTTCTTGTTGACATGTACATTCATTTTCAGAAAACAGATCCCATAAAACTATTAGCTGTACTGATTGCAAAATATAGTCAAAAAAGTCAGATTGTTATTTTCTGTGTGTGTGTGTTCACGTCGCATAAAGTATGCATCGGTCACAACTCAGTAATTGACATAAGTGACACGGTAGAAGTTGTAGCAGCCAAAGAGAATAGACGGATAAATAATCTGTCAGAACAGTTTCCATGTTTTGCGAAATACTTGAAAATCCTTGAGTAGTTTCATATATCATCATTATTGTTTCAGTTAGGAGAAAAGTCAGTGTAATTTCATTGTCTTTTATTAGATAAAAGACCTACTATGATAGAAGAAGTTTTTCCTAATTATTCTTTTATGATCATGTAGACCAAAATGTCTTAAATTATTTCTGATTTGATTTCATATGACATGAAGTTCTTTTCTACAAGATTGATTTATGTCGAAAAAGCTTTTAACAGGGGACTTTTGGTCATATGCGAGAATTATCAAGTATCTGACTATTCTCTGATTAATGATGAGCTAAAATAATACAAGCTGAAGCGTATTGTCACGTGCATACCTTCATTAATTCTAGCATCTGGACAGCGACTGACAACTCAATGCACTTTTGATCATACCCCGTTATGGACATACATTTTAACATAGTCATTTTTATTTGAACTTGTCTACGAGGGAACCTGTTCATGTGCCCAACGCCGATTTCAATGATCTTTTGCCAATAGATACTGTATAGTGTCCTAGTAAAAAGCACAAAGATTTAGATTCTTATTGCTTTCTGTAAAAGTTATTGAATTTTTCTCAGTTTTTCCTACAGAATCTTAAAAGACTCAATATTTTAGTTTCATAAAGTTTTCTTTCCTTCAGTGGCGGCTTTAGGGGGGGGGGTGCGATCGCTCCCATTCCAAAAATTCATTCCTTACACTTTTTGCTTTTGAAAGTAACAACGACCATATGAACCTAATTGCTCTATTGATCAAATACTATATTTTTAAAAAAATCGCCCCCATTCACAAAATTCCTAGATCCGTCACTGCTTTCCTTTCGTACGAAACATTCAAAACTTTTTCTTATACATAGTCTGATAGAGAAAGCGGCACATCACCCAGAATTTTCCGATAAGTTTTGGTGGAGATATAAGACATCACTGGAAATGTTCTAAAAAAGGTAACCAGTGTACAAAATACGTTTTTAACGGGGTAAATGATGAACGTTGCTGTGAACTAAATCTGCGCCGTCAGTCAATGATATCGAAAGCATAATTCTTGTATTCACCAATCATCTATCATTCAAAGTGCTAACAGCTTTTGGATAGTAAAAAAGCAGGTTTAGCTCGAAACTAACAGGGGAAAAAGATGAGAAATAAAGAATGTATTTCGCACTATGTATAGTCAATATTGTTGCTTAACTTTTTGGCTATGATTATTTCTAAACGTAGGATTTTTACAAGTGGAAATACTCTGTAGTTTGCTGATCACGGATATCGTTTATGCTGCTACGCGTTGTACGACTCGGTCTTCGTCAAAAACTGGCTGTAGCTACGTTTCAACGTGTAATGGATATCGCGCCAATGATTGCCTTGTGTATAAAGAAAATTTCTTTTTAACAATCTGATCATTTTATTTGTGCCAAAAGGTTCGCAAATGACAAATACAGAAAAAGAAATATATCTGCATATAAATATACCTATATCATACAGGGAAAAAAAAGAAAAGGATACAAATATGTCTAAAGGATAGAGTAAGATAATAATCTTCCTCTCTTACTATTTCCTTATGATTCAAAGTCCGTTAACACATGGGAAGGTTGCCAATTTGGTAAAATTTCTTGAATTTCTGTGAATAACCTCTCTTATATACTTTGTTTTTCATTTGGTAGTAAAACAAATGTCACCGCTACGTTAATATTTCGATAACATGCGTTGTATATAGTTGAAAAAATATTGATGGAGTAATGCAAAATGCATCATCCATATACAATTCTTTTGACTGTTTAAGTATTCGTAATTGCTTAACTGTACCATTTATAATAATTCTATCGAAACTAAGACCAGAATCTAACAATAAAAATTGTTTATTGTGTATACAATAACGTACGTTTTTTAGTATTGATTCGAAAAAAAGATCAGTTGGATTCGTTGATAGAACTTGTTCATTTCGATGATAGAGAACTAGTTGTTTCATGGCAATTGTATCTGGTAGATGTGCCATAGCTTTCATTTAGATAATGTACTAATTGACTTTATCACTACTGTATTTATGGGATCATGAGTTGTATGAGCTTTTGTTCTCAAATCCGAATCTGCTTTATGAACTTCAACTTTTGACGCATTCGCTGCATGATGGTGTGATTTTTGTCGTCATTTATTGACATAAATTCATAATTGCGATCGATTTTTATTCTGGGGCCACAATGGATTTTGGATTGTATGATTTTTCACATTTCCAATATTCAACATCTTTTAAGTTTTCTTATGAACAAATCTATAACCATTAGCTACCAAAAGTAACGGGTGGTGCAAAAGTTCTTCATTAATTTTGTTTTTTATATAGCGCTGCGATGGAATATCGTAGAGACTTCACTCTTTTTTTATTAGAAAGAGCAAAGTGTCTAGTACAAAAATATAAAAAAGAATCTGATCAGAAATGTTTCCCGAAGGTCACAAAAATCTTAGAAGAAAAGACATTGTGAAATTATTCTCCAATTTTTTCGAATTTAGAAAAAACTTCACCCAATAAAAAAGGTTATCTTTCTAATTCGTTTATTCCGAATTTTATAATGTACGAATAGAGCACTATTGTTGTACAAAAAAGAAAATTTCTACGTGTTTGATAACTGTCAAAATGCTTTTATAACATCTTCCTGTATCACCGATTTTTCATCACTGTCGATCGTAGTCGAAAACATAATTTCTACTCCGAGAGGGAAGTTGACAGAAATTATATATTTTACATGAAAAAGAAAGCTTATTGAGTCCTCTACTAAACGATATTATTTGGAATAGAATACAGCTTCTTTGTGAGATATTTAAACAAAAATTTGTTTCCGCGTTGTAAAGGCCAAATTGAGTTTTTACTTACACTGTTTGCTGTTCAGTAGAGACCTGCAACCCGACCCGAGCCTAGAGTCGGGTCGGGTTTGGGTTGAGCATTTTACGGGTCAATTTAAAATATCGCTAATAATTTCAGTTTTGTATTACTCATTGAAAGTTATCTGCACTGGAATTTCTAGTTAAAATACTTGTTCCAGAACAACTGCATCCACTAAGTCGATTAATGATTGCTTTCTTAGGCATAAGAGAGTGCTTCCTGCACTGAAATCAATGGCAATACATCCCTCACTGCTTTTTCAATATTCTGTTTTAAACACCCATACCCATGCTATAATGCTCTATACTTGCTATCCTATTATTAGGTGATATAGGCTGACCAATGAGAAAAAGGATGTATTCATCATCTCAGTTAAGATAATCTATTGAAAAAGTGTGCTGAGGAATTTTTCAATAGATTAACCTTTTAGACAAAATGACGGATTGACCAATCAGAAGTCGTTCAAAAATTTTCCTGTTTTTGATCAACACTTAGCTTCATCAAACAAGCCTAAGAAACTAAGAAAAACGTACGTTTTTTTTTCTCTTTTTCGTCTTAGTCACGCAGTGTACTGAAAAAGCCATGAAGACACAAGTACGATGCAATGGCGATTTTTCCTTAGTAGATTCGCCTAGCCGTACAGTAGAGGCCTGCAACCCGACCCGACCCTAGGGTCAGGTCGGGTCGGGTTCGGGTTCAGATGCTGTCGGGACGGGTCGGGTCCGGGTTCAGATGCTGTCGGGACGGGTCGGGTCCGGGTTCAGATGCTGTCGGGTCGGGCTCGGGCCAGCATTCTGATAGTCTGATCGGGTTCGGATTAGGTTTTCTTAACCCGTGCAGATCTCTACTGTTCAGTCTCTTGTAAGCTAGGCTGACTGTTTTAATATCATATGAAAGTCTTCGTTGTAATGAACAAATGTATATACAGTGGCCGCCAAAATTATTCACCCACCTTTGTCTGTAAATTTTTTCTTGTTTTTTCGTGAATAAAAAAGAACTCAATTAGTACTTCGTGTAGGGAAAATTCTCGTCTACAAGAATATGACATGGCAGAGAAGGACTGTCTCATTCGAGGGTTTAGAAGCTCAAAAAAGCCGAAACCATGATTTTTCATCATTTTGATGAAAAAAATCAGATTCATCCAAATGGTCTAGATTTGTAGAGCAAAAAATTCTGAACAAAATGAGACGTCCCCGAGCTCTGTACGACCAAATTTCGCAGAGATATGTCAGTCTCAATGAGGGCTTAAAAGTTCATTTTTTGATGTTTTCCATGTAAAATCGGTTTTGGTTTCTCCGCTGAAACTGACGTATCTCTGCGAAATTTGATCGTACAGAGCTCGGGGAAATCTACAGACAAAGGTGGGTGAATAATTTTAGCGGCCACTGTATATGGCGCTCGAAAACATCGAGAGTGGGTAGTGAAAAAAGTCCAACAAATATATTTAGATGAAAAATTGTGACCGAAGTTGCAGAACAATTTCACGATTTCACAATGTCTTTTCTTCTAAGATTTTTGTGACCTTCGGGAAACATTTCTGATCAAATTCTTTTATATGTTTTTGTACTAGACACTTCGCTCTTTCTAACAAAAAAAGAGTGAAGTCTCTACGATATTCCATCGCAGCGCTATATAAAAAACAAAATTAATGCAGAACTTTTGCACCACCCGTTATTTTGTCTTTATTTATTGTACTTCTTATGATTTCATGAGGGTCCACCGCTTTTGGTATTTCTTCTTCTGCAGGTTTTTGTATTAAGTGTAATGCTAGATGTTGAAGGTCATCTTAAGAAGGTATATGTGTAAATGTGCTTTTTTTTTTCATTCTCTCCTCGTATTCCTCTCTTCTTCGGACTCTTGTTGCTTTAGTCTCAACGCTTCAACATGTTCTACAACATCTGAAGTTTCAGATATCATAATCTGACAGTTCTTTTGCTGTAACACAACATGGGGACAATTGTTTGTCTGCCTAGATGTATCTGAAGAAGCAGATGTATATACGAAAAACTAAAAATTCATGAATCTCTTCATCCGTTAAATTACCGTATGGAGTACCTAATGCTAATGTTGTTGCTGTTATGTCATTAACAACATTCTTTCGCGTTGAATCCAGTTGTAACATGGTTGAATTATTAAACAGTGAAAAGAGTATATAGGGCTCTATGAGTTATACATAACAACTTATGTAATAAACGTGTTAATGTTTTGAGATAATAAAAATCATGTGAAACTAAAGAAAAGAAGAATAGAGGTTTAAAATCTGAAACCGAAATTTCTCTGAAATTATCTTTCTACGAAACTACTTTTCTACCAAATTTCTTTCTACGAAATTTCACTGTGCACTATCTACACATGTAAAATAACTATTGAAAAAACAAAGATGCTCTGAAGTCTCGTCTATCGAATAGCTAATATCATAACTATCAATCTCTTTTCAATTTTGAGTTACATGAAAAATAATGAGACGCATCTTAATAGACATTAGAGCACCAAATGATGATTCAAGTACACGTCATGCACATAATAGTTTCATCGTTTTGGTTAACTAGTCATACTGGTTTTTGATTGATTGATGAAAGAAATAAAAAAACTGTAGCAAAAAAAAAAAATAGTCAGAAGCGAGAAAGTAAACCCATTATTCATCTAAAGGAGTCACATATAGGTAATTACCATATAAAATGCGAATAAGAAAGTGAAAGGAAAATATAGTGAATGTGGGTGTCTCAACGGATGACTTAGATTCTTACTGAGCAATATATATTAGAGACAAAAATAAAAAGGTATAAACAAAAAAACCTTTTTATTTCGAACGAAGACATAATATAAAACGATCAGGAAGAAGAATTGTAAGTGTTTGAGTTTTTGTTTTGATATGTAACTTCGATTAAAACTGCGAACGTTTAATTTAAGTCGACTCTTTTTTTACTGAGTTTTGAATATGCTATTTTTCTCTGTTCACATCAACAAAACATTTATGCTTTTATATGTCAAGGTGGTAGCACCAGACGTTTATACATTCGTCCTTTTCATCACAACTAGAGCCACTAAAACATGTTTTTTTTATTAGTATTTCATTTTTACCTTTGACTTTTATCTTCTTCTCTGTTATAGTGACTACTTATGCCGCTAAAAACGTTTCTTGTAAATCGCAGAAATAATCGTCGATTTCGTTTAAATGGTATAAAACCATCATATCGGTTGCCTGGAAAACATAATCTTCGAAAAAACTTTACTCATATTCTTAAATATAGTCCAGATCAATTACCATCCAAGGCTGATTTAAGACCCGAATTAACACCGGTTGAAGATCAGTCACAAATTGGAAGTTGGTAAGAAAAATTGTTGATAAAAGTTTTCGAATTATTCATTTTTTGACATGTAATCTTTATTTTAGTTCAGCAAATTGTCTTGCTGGTAAAACAAAATATATCTAATTTAGAAATTGATCGATCATTACATTGTTTCTTCTTTAAGGTGCTTATGAATTTCTTATTAAAAAGCATACAGGTCAAAATAAAGATGTCAGTCGTTTGTTTATGTACTATAATGGTCGTGTGAAAGAAAACGATGGCACTGATAGTCAAATCACGGATTCTGGGTGTAGTATGACATCGGCTATTGAAGCATTGGAAGAATATGGTGCTTGTCAAGAATCTTTATGGCCATACGATATAGCGAAGGTTAATGTAAAACCAATTCCCGACGCTTATAATGAGGCAAAACGATTTACCATTGACGAAGCTTTACAAATTAATATTAATCTTTATGAAATGAAATCCTGTATTGCTCAAGGATTTCCATTTGCATTTGGTATGAAATTATTTGAATCATTTGACAAAGCAGCTGACTCGGGAGTTGTGCCAATGCCAAATGCTTCGGAAAGGAGTCGTCAATCACATGGAAGGTATATTCAATAATATATGTCCTTATAACGAAATAAAATTAGTTTTTTTCATTTAATTACAGTCATGCATTATTGGCCGTTGGCTTTAGTGATACATCACAATCTTTTATTGTGCGTAATTCATGGGGTGAGAATTGGGTGAGCCTTTCTCTATCTCATATTCATAGAATCACTAAATCTTCTTTTTTCATTAGGGAGATCGTGGATATTGCTATATTCCATATGATTATTTAACTAATAGTGAACTGTGTTTTGATGCATGGGCAATTAGAAAAATAGCGGATTATGATTTTGGTTCTGATCATTGGGATAATGAAGATTCAACTGATTATAGTCAAGCTAATAATTGGAATGATAACGACTACGATGACGACGATGGCGATGGAAGAATCATTGAACAGTTCGAAGACGATGATGACGACAACAATCAATCGTCTAGATATTCTGATAATTATAACAATGATTTTGATACGGATAGATATCAACAAAAGGGTTATAATAATGATAATCGTGGATATCAACAGAACGATTATTATAATGATAATCGTGGATATGAACAGAATGATTATTATAATGATAATAGTGGATATCAACAAAATGATTATTATAATGATAATCGTAGATATCAACAGAATGATTATTATAATGATAATAGTGGATATCCACAACAACAGACAAATTATGATAATTATAACGATCAATATAGAGATAACCAATATTACGATGACAATAACAGTAACTGGCAAAATAATAATGATTTTAGTGGTGGATATAGCGGTGGAAACTATGGAAACGACTATGGAACAGGATTTGGATATTATAATAGCCAATTTTATCGTTAAGAGTATACATAAGACAATTGAATAAGACAATTACAATTATATAACTATTCCATTTATATTCTTACATGTCTAACAGCTTACAGGAATTTTTTCAATGAATAAGATTTTGAGTTACTAGAACTGATATATCAATAGTGAAATATAATATATATCACTGTTTTTTGTCAGCTTTTAGATTGTTCTAGCTATCGATCAATTTCGTTGAGAGGAGATTTCGAGTAAGACTATAAACTTGTTGTAAATAAGATGTCAGATCAGTCAACGGAGTCATTAGAACGTGTTATGTTGAATCTAATTTCGCTTCCTCAACGAATTTACTAGCTAGTCAGTCGTGATTAAGTGGTTTTGGCTTAATAAAAAAAAAGTTTTTTGAGCTCCTATTCTTATTTTAAGCAATGCACTATAACAGAAGACTACACAGAAAAAATCAAGACATAGAGATGCAAAGAGTTTGGAGGCGCCGTAACGGCCGCTTGCGGTTATATATTTTATTTTCTCTCTCTCTCCTCTCCTGAAAAGTTTGAGACACTTCTATGCGGTCTTTATATAGAGAGAGTGGAATCAGTTAATAATTAATTATTATTATTATTTTATGTTTCATAGGGACGCGAAATATAGAGGCACATGATCTTCGTGTTGACATTCCATCAAAAAATCAGTTTCTCCTCTTCTTCCAAAATCCTAAACTTCTTCTCGCATCTTAAGAGAAGAGGAATTTTTATAACTATAATAGAGAGAGGAATGTAAAACTACTTGAGGAAGTGATACAATAGAATGGTACGATAGAAGTGGTGTGATGAAGAAAGAATGTATGACCAAGAGAAGGATAGGAAGATGACTATTGTGAAAAAAGTGAGGAGGTTTTCTCTACCTAACAAATACTCACCATTATCTCCAACCAGTCTTCTGCTTTTTCTTTTATCATACAAACGAAGAAGAAGCTGGAATACTTTAATTTCATAAACAATATAAATTAACTTTTACATTTAATTTATATTTAATATTCTTTTAAAGTTATAAAATATAATTTAGTATTTTCAATTCTATTACTAACTTTTTGTTCTGCACCCTTTCTCCTCAAGAACCGTTATCAATTGAAGAGATCATGGACTAAAATAAAACTGATTGATTGAAACAGATTATCAATTATCATCAACACCATTATATATTATTCCATTGACTGTAGGTCTATGGCCATACGAAATAAATTGTTTGTTCGTGTGTGTTTGTCCATACAGAGCTGTGACGAACGTAAGGTTAAGGAAATTCAAAATTCAAGTAGGTTTTTTACCTACAGATTTCCTTATAGATTTTGATAGAGCTCAACGCGCTGATTCTGAATATGTACAATTCATTGAGAAAAAGTTGATTTTTCATGTCGAAAATAGTGAAATACTAAAAAACTTTGAAATCGTAAAAAATACACCTGTTTCGAAAAACCGTTTATGATCTTTGAATCATAAGTCTTTCTGATTTCGTTCATTTTCATTCGTTATCTACGTGAAAAAGTGATTCAGAAAATGTGCTTACCGACTATAGAACATGAATTTTTAAGCACCATGAGTTCAAGCTAGGTCAACGTTCGAAAAACGGACATGTTCTGCCTCCAAAACTATCAGTACTTTGTAGTTTGAATATTTTCCAGATATTTTCTCATGGTTAGAATCACTAAAATGTGCTTCAAAAAGTTACGTATCCTTTTCCTGAAATTCCTTTCTTAGGAGGAGAAAAGTGAACTTTAAAAGTGACAAGTGAATCTGAATATAACGACCGAAGTGATCATAACTTTATTGAGTTTAAAATTAAAATATTATCTTTAAAAGAGAAAATAGAACGTACAGTTTATGATATAATGCAGCTGACTAGGAGAAAGTGAATGAGCGATTCAGTGAAATATCTATACACCAGCTTTTAAAGAATTACAATAATCTAAATGAAAGAGTTAGAGCTTTCGAGCAGATATTACTAGCCCAGATATAATACTATGTACCTAATGAGAAAATGCGTATTGAACCACGCGATAAAGTTTGGTTCAACGATAAGCTAAGAATTCTGTATAAAAAGAAATATAAACTCTATCGTAAAAGGTAAATATTCGAATTATTATTTTCAACTGTATGAAAAAGCTGCAGAAGAGTTTAAGGCAGTTTTTATTACCACCAAAGAAGATTACTATAAAAGGATAAATTTAAAAGTGTGTGCTACTTCAAAGAATTGATGGAGCTTAGTCAAAAATACATTAGGTAAAATACGGACGACTGTGATTCCAGTATTACTAAACAATACGAATGAGGTCGTGGTCGAGACACGAGAAAAGATTGAAATTTTAAATGAATATATTGCTGAAATCTGTCTGTGAACAGGACCAATAATTGATTCAAAAATAGCTGATTCTTTACCTGAATCCAAAGTTTTAATTAATAAATTCACAGTAGTGCAACCTGAGGTAGAAAATATTTTACGTAGTTTGGACCACAATCGTGCATGTGCGCCGGAAATTACTAATCGTATGATTAAAAATATGGCACAGTCTATTGTTAAACCTGTTTATAAATTAATCTATGAGTCCTTTGAAACGTCAGTTTTTCCTAGAATATGGAAAAATGGAGTGGTAAATCCACTATATAAAAGTGGTGATCCATTAGAAAGATCTAATTATCGACCTATAACTTTACTTAAAGTTTTATCTAAAGTGCCAGAGCGTCTAGTTCACAGGCAATGATATAGGCACCTTATTAAGAATAAACTTCTTTCTAATTGTCAATCAGGATACATAGCTAAGAATAGTACTACTTATACGACCCAGTTCGCTCGCAAACCTATCTAATTTTTTCTGTAAAGAGATGAAGCCTGGATTCTGATGCTATTTGAATTGTTTTGGAACGTACAATAAACGTACGTATCGCTTTCGTTGAAATTCCTTTCCGTTGCTGAAAAAAGCCATTTTTTCTCAACAAGAGTCGAAAAAGTCAGAATTCTGCTCGCAGTTCTCAATTTTCTCCATCAGAAATCAACTTTAATAGAATAGCAATATCATCTCCGGAATCAGGATCAAAAACTGAGTCGATTAATGTATATTTCGAAATTTTTAGTTGAGTTTCATTTTTTTGTGAAAATCGCGATAGTTTTCAAAGTGAAAATTCGACAAAAACTTGAGAAAAAATAACTTTTTTCAGCAACGGAAAGGAATTTCAAAGAAAGCGATACGCACTTTTATTCTACGTTCCAAGGCAGTTCAAATGACGCCAGAATCGAGACTCCATCTCTTTACAGAAAAAATTAGATAGGTTTGTGAGCGAACTAGGTCGTAATCATAGCCCTCCAAAGTTTGACGAGAGATCGACACTTCTTATGGCTCTGAAACCTTGAAATACACTTCCCTGTAAGTAGTTTTTCGCGCTGATTTCGAGAAACGCTTTTGGAAGGCTCTAGAATGCCGAAGAACGGAGATGTCATCTCATTTTTGAAAAGTTGTCATTTTTCAATAAAACAGACCCCTCCAATATTTTGAATCTTTTTTTCGTAGAAAACTTGCATCAGGTAGACCGAAAGTGAGACATTCGTGATCAGCGTGAAAAACTGCATCGAATGGTGGATCTTTAGGCCAAAAATAAAATAGTGCTTTACGTTTGAATTTGGAGCGCCTTACGATGAAAAATTTAATATTAGTATCTGGTAACAGTAACAGAAACAATGAATGACTATATATAAGCACTATAATTACATATGTAGTTGTTTAAAAATAATAGAAATTCATTTATGATCTTATATTCGTCTATTTCAATTCTTGTATTATCTATCAGATGTTGAACAGTATTGAATTTATCAACTATTTATTCAAATGTTTTCGAAAGTTTGAAACACTATTAACATTTAACTCATAATTTAAAATGAGAATATTTATTTATTGATCCATGTACCTAATCTCATAATTATCAGTTAATTTTTTGGGCAATGAGTACATTCCATATGTCAAATCCTATCAAATGCTTTTTTATAATCTACATATTGAAAATTTACTCAAACTTTTTTTCTGTTGTACTCATCATTTTTTTACGTCTTGTTTAGCATCTTAGAAACTTTGTTTGACATCTCATTTTGCAGAGACTTGAGCGAGTTATCCAATGAAGCGGTTGAAAAACTTTCAAAACGAACTTCAAGATCGTTAGGATTTGTAGAAAACTCAGTTTTCAAAAATCTTTTCTAAAGATTCAAAGATCTAGCGTAATTTTTCTTCATTGAAATATAATTCGGAGTATGTTATTGATTCTGATAAAAAACATAAAGAAAATGATAAAAAGTTAAAAACTTGCAAAAATGAGGATGCTTCAAATGGGGTTTGTAATAAGCAGAGAAAAAAAATAGATCGAATTTTTTTTGTAAAATCTTAAACCCATGGTTTTCTTACGCAGCTTTTGATGCTATTTCCATTGATATGTTTAAAAATAATTTTCTCCATTCATTACGTGTGAACTAAAAATATATAAAAAGTTCAAAACAAAATTTTAGTTACGCAAAATTAAACTATAGTAATAAATAAAAGTTTTAATACGTTTTAAAACAGAACGTAGACCCTGAATGTGGCAGAGAAAGATTAAGAGAAAATTGCGTCTCGTCCGGAACTCGGATCTCACGATCAGCTGTACATAATCCTGGAAGCGCATAATAGCATTTCAGACTTTTTTTTAGGATGCAGAATCAAAGTCATTGTATTCTAATATACAAAATATAAAAAAAGAATAAGAATGTAGTTTGCAATCTCCTACAAGAAAAACCTATCAGTACAGCTTCGTCATTATTTGTATTGCCTAGCAGTCGGAGGTTGAAAGAAAACAAGGTCTAACAGGTTCTCACCTGTATTGCGTTTCTCCAGACGTGAAGTTGCCAATTCAAACGTTATTTTACACTAGTCAGAACGTAATCCAATATACCTCTCAGGAAATCAAACAGAATGAGAGAAAAAAATGACTAAAATTAAACATCGAAACAGGAAAGGAGAAGAAACAATCTGAAGCGAATGAATCATCATCATCTGACGGTCGAAAATAGAATTTATTGTTGCGGTTTATATTGGTAAAAATCAACAACTATAAAACAGTTGAAAATGATTTGAATTTTACATTCTAATTATCAACGCCGAAGTTTCATTTTTAAATTTGTTGTTATACGCTGGCAAATCATGTTGTCGTACTAGTTGAACATGAATTGACTAGCAATAGAAAAAATTTATTCGAAAACATATTCAACCAACTTATTTATTTATCTATTCTTCTTACAATGGTTAAACCGATGAAATGTATTTTATTATGTTTAATGTGATTTTTTTTACATTTTGGCAGTTGTTAGTTTTCTCCTACAAATTTCATTTGGCTAGTATAATGAATTAAATCATCGTGACAAAAAAAATGAATCTGACATTGAAATAACAAAAATACTAATTCCATTGAATCAAAATCAAAATCTATTGTTAATATGATTTAATAATAGTATTGATATTAAAATACAAAATGAATTAAAACATTTGCATGATTATTTTCTGATATGTTCGATATTCAATGAATTGATAAATACAATAGATAAGATAGAAAATAATAATAAAATTATTCTCTTTATTTTCGGACAATATTCGCTTTATACATTACAATCATTTACATAGTAATGATAAAATTGATTCATTTTAAAGGATAATACATTTTTGATCTCGGAAATTAAGCACAACTGATCCCGTTTACTAATTTTTGCGAAAAAATGCACAAATGATCCCAGTTTTTCTAATAATTTTTAATTAGTTATAAAATAACACACTGATCTAGGAAAAAGCTATTTTTTTCTTAAACAACATAATTGATCCCGGAAAATTAGCAAATCGTGGCATCATCCTTCGAAATGAGGCTCATAATTTGGAATAATGTATCTGCAGTCTCATTACCTCATACCACAAGAACGACAATCATTGTCTTCCATTGAAAAGTATAAAAACGTTAACGCAATCCTGTTAACGCATAATTATTACTTCAAAAGTAGACTGTTATCAACATATCTACTAGTATATAGCAGACTTTTTTTTAATGCAAAGATGAAGATGAGTTATTAGCAATCATCAAAGAAAATAATACTCGTAAAACGTACAGAACAACTTGATTATGGATTATGTTATACATATATTGGTTCAGAATATCAGAAATATCCACTATGTAAATTTCAATTGAAAGCAAAACAGTCGCCTGATACTACAGAGGAATAGATAAATAAACAATTACTTTTTATGACATCTTTTCCATAATAACAATGTTTTGTGCAGTTAAATACTATGGGTTAAAATGAGATCACATAGCTGTTCAATGAGCCTATTGCCATGATTTGCTACAGAGTTGCAACCGGCCGGTTTTCAAATATTTTCTAGACGGACAAGAGGGTAGAAAAACTCATTTTTTTTAGTGAAGAAGCGAAAAAGGCTAACAATTTCAAAACCGGTGAATTAACTGCCGGTTTGAAAATCTTTCTAGACTGATGCAAACCAGCCAATCTGCCGGCCCGGTTACAACTCTGACTTGCTAATTTTCCGAGATCAGTTATGTTATTCAAAAAGAATAGCTTTTCCGGGATCAGTTGTGTCATTGTATAACTAATTAAAAGTTATCAGAAAAACCGAGATCATTTGCGCATTTTTTTCGCGCAATTAGTAACGGGATCAATTGTGTCTAATTTCCGAAATCAAAAACGCAAGTGCTCCATTTTACATACAGATTTGTATAAAGATTTAACATATTCAAAATTAATCGCTATTTATACCGAGTATCCTCTACGTTATCAAGTGTAGATATACGACTGCACTTATTAATAAACCACTTCTTAATATTTAATGTAGTTGAACAAACAAATAAATTCATTCGTGATTTAGAACAAGAATCTATCAATAATTTATAATATCATTTATTACGTGATGATTACATTAACAGAAGAATCAAAATAAGAAATACTAGATTATTGAAAACCTCGAAGAATTTTAGATGAGATTACATTTTATCGTGATTTAACATTACCTGCTCGAGATATTGAACAATTAAAACAATCAATTGAAAAATGTATCTAAATCAATATATTTTTTTATCTGTTTTAAAAGATGAAGAAAAATATTAGGACGGATCTCTGGAATAAGTAGCGAATTGACAAGTTTATAATTTGGTCATTTTTCAGTGAATATTGATCGCATCTATAAAGCAGTCGAACATTTTAAAAATTTAATGCAGCATCCCATAGATGACATGAGATTTAAAATCATTTGTATGTATTCTCTCAGTTATACCTATAACGTGACTGGGAAATTAGATTTAGCACTTGACTATGTATTACAAGCTTGTGATATTTTAGAATTTTCGGCATATTCAAATACGGTATAACGGCTTTCGTTATCGAGTTAATCGAAATATTTATATGAATAAAAAACAAGCTGATCATGTGCTGGATTTTTATGTAAAAGCAATCAAATATGTTGATACAAATGAGCGTTGTTTACTATCTCAATATCATTTTGATATTGGATAAATTTACTTTTTTCAAAATAATTGAAAATTTGCTCTTAAACATTGTTTAAGATGGACGTAAAAACTTGTTTAGGAGCCTTCAAACATTTTTTTCGGATTCAGCGTTAAAAACTGAATAGAAAAATAGTGTCTGATCAATTTCGAAGTTAAAAGGCTGTCGAGCGTGACGTCTCAAACCATGGTTGCTGTACGTAAAACCAATGCTGCATGTAGAGGGCTAAAGCCCCCTAAAGTAGGGGCATGCAATTTTGCAAACCTATGTGGTTTTTTCTGTTAATGGTGGAAGTCATTTGCACGCCATTTGCACGTCATTGGGTTTGCTGAAAGCTCAGCTTTGAACGCTTCGCTTTTTTTAAAATTTTGCTTTGTTGCTGAGAGAGTACATTTGTTCTAAATCAGAAGTCAGAATTCTGCCCGTAATTCTCAATTTTCTCTATCAGAACTCAACTTTTACGCAATAAAAATATCATATTCGGAATCACGATCAAAAAATGAGTCGATCAATGTACATTTCTATTCTAACCGAATACTTCAGCTTTTTTCGAATTTCACGTCCAAAAATTACCGAGATTCTCAACTAAAATTGAAAATCAGCTAAAAATTTCAAATTACATACTAATCGACTCAGTTTTTAAATAAAAGTGCATAAAAGTTGAGTTCTGATAGAAAAAATTGAGAATTACGGACAGAATGCTGACTTTTTCGCCTCTAATTTAGAACAAATGAACTTTCGCAGCAACAAAGCAAAATTTTGAAAAAAGCGAAACATTCTTTTAAAGTTGAGCTTTCAACAAACCTAATGACGTGCATATGACAGCTTCAACTCTTAACGCAAAAAACTAGATAGGTTTTCAAAATCGCATGCCCGTACTTTAGAGGCTAGTCTGAGACGTCGCTTTCGATAGACTTCAAGTCTATCGAGCACGAATAGTGTTTGATCAATTTTAAAGCTAAAGTTTAACTTTGAAATTGATCAAACACTATTTTTCTATTCAGTTTTTAACGCTGAATCCGAAAATATTGTTTGAAGTCTTTAAAACAACCTAGAGGCGAGATATTAACGATTTTTGAACAAAATATTTTATATCTTGATATTTTCGTTCAAAACGGTTTTTTGTTTGTTTTCCTAAGAAGATCGAGTACAGAGTTGTGTGGAACAGATGAAAATTAGGAAACTGCATCTGCCACAAAACTGTCACTAGGTTCAAGTTTGAGAAGCAGTTCCTTCGTAATGAGCAATTGGAAAATAGCAAAAAAGCGGTTTTTCTGATTGTTCATTGTAACGGAAGTTTTTCCCAAACTTGCGCCTAGTGACAGTTTTGTGGCAAATGTAATTTTCTAATTTTCAACTGCTACACCAACTCTGTACTCGATTTTCTTGAGGAAAAACGTAAAAGATCGTCGTTTATCATGAAGTCTGACTTCTAGAAACCCGGCTGCAGCATATGCTTTTTAAGAAATTATATTTACTATAATTCATGTTCGAAGCTACAGTCAGTCACAGAAATGCTTCCTTCATAGGGAAAATGTCAATTAATTATTGTTTTGCGAACTACCTGCTATTGGTAAAGTTTGTCCGGTAACGGTAACTGTTACCGTCCTATGCCTAGGCATGATTTTTCATAAAATCTTGAAGCTATACATGATTTTCTGAAAATATTTTCTTTGCTATAGTAGTAGCTTTCTCGTAATTAATCACTGCTTTTTCATAATCACATTTGCTATAGTGCCAATCTCCGATATTACTATAGATTGCTGGACAATCCTGTTTAGTTTCTAATGAATCATCTCTGGAAGCATGTTCAAGTGCTACTTCATAAACGTTTAGTGCCTCATCATAGTTTCCACATTTATGATGTACAAGTCCACGATTATTATACAATTTGATAAATGATGAGCGACGGGGTGGTAAACCTTTTAGAATAATTCTATGAATATTTTTATAATAAGAAAGTGCAATTTGTTGGTTAATACCTTTCAATTGCTCGCGAGATGTTTTTCGTCTTAGGCAAATATTACTGATATTTGTACGATCATCGGACAATGGAGAAGATGGTCTTGATCTTTTCGTCTTTTCAAAATATAAAAAAGCTAGATGGGACTTATTCATTTCATAATACAATATTCCAAGATTATTATAAATAAGATCTTTTTGTTCTTCATCATCTGGTAAACAATCATTTAGTGCTTTAGTGTAATATTTTTCAGCTTTATCATTTCACCTAATTCTAATAAAATATTTGCTAATGTTAGCAGTGTACATAGTTCGACAATGTGTTCATTTAGTATATTTATTAGTTCGATGGATGTTTCATTTGTTTCTGCTGTCAATATTAAATTAACGTGCCATCTATTTTCATGCTTATTTTTTTCAACAGAAGTAATATATGTATCAATAAAAAATAGAACTTCTCTTTCATCTTCATAGCGGCTTGACTTACGAGGGAACCGCCCCAGGTGCCCAACTCCGATTTCCTTCATTCATACCTCGTTTTATAGCGCACATCGAGCTGGTAAAAAGCCTAAAAAGATTTTTGCGCATGGCTCATGAAGTCTTGGTTTTCGGCAAAACCAGTTTTTGAGAAATTCTAAAAAGTAATCAAAATCTTTCATAATGCCGCATAATCATAGCCCGCACATTTTTGATTAAAATGAGACGTCTCCCAGCTCTACACGACCTTTCTTTACAAAGTTACAGACTTTACAAGAAAAGCCCTAAATATTCATTGTCACCTCAAAGCTGTAGAAATAAGAAGAAATTAATTTAGGACTTTTCTTGTAAATTCTATAACTTTGCAAAGAAAAATCATGTAGAGCTGGAAGACGTCTCATTTTAATCAGAAATGTGCGGGCTATGATTATGCCTCATGACAACATTGTGTAGATAAACTTTTGGCAAATCCATCTGTGGTATGACAACAACATATTATACTGTAAACTAGAAAATAACTTATAGAGTATCATAAGCGATATTCTAGGAAAGTCCATACAAATTCCTAGACGAATTTCTACTTTCTTGAAAATAAACTGTTGATATTCAAGTCTCGATTTTCTGTAGGAAATCAAACTGAAGTTCTATTATTTAGAAAATCAAGCATTTTCTAAAAGTTTGAAATTCGACGGATGAATAATAAAAGTTTGAAAATGCTTTAGCTTTTTCAAAGTCGATTTTCTATAAAATAGAATTTCAAAAAAATTTA